CATGGTATTGATCCAAGAGGCAATATGGTTAGTGGAATCATTAGTTTTACCCGAGAGAGAGAGAGAGAGAGAGAGAGAGAGAGAGAGAGAGAGAGAGAGAGAGTTAATTATACATATTAACACACAAAAGATAAGCAAAACTAGATCTTCGGGCCCATAGATATTAGGGTGAATATAGGTATTGTAAACATAGACACAACAGCCCTTTGTCCTCTCGTAAAACATATTTGAGGTCGCGAGGAATTCCATGAACTTTATTGGTGGTGAGATGTCAGCCAGGAAGAGATGTCAGCCAGGGAGAGATGTCAGCCAGGGAGAGATGTCAACTAGGGGGAGATATCACCCAGGGGGAAATGTCAGCTAGGGAGATGTTTGCCAGAGGGGGATAGCCGGGGAGATGTCAGCCAGGGGGAGATGTCAGCTAGGGAGATGTCAGCCAGGGGGAGATGTCAGCCAGGTGGAGATGACAGCCAGGGAGATGACCTAACCTAACCTAACCTAACCAAATGCTATTGCTCATCCGTTTGAATGAATATATTGCGTTTACATTAGCCTGTGTATAATGAATGAGTGAAAGAAATAACTTGAATTGAATTAATATTATGCAATTGTTGGATGCATGTTAAACAAGTGGCCCCCCAAAAATAATGGTGGAAAATATTACATCATCGCTAAACTGAATAATGAATAACCAAAATGAGTAATATTATCATTAAATGAATACTTGATTTGTGTTAGATTATTATTAGATGTATATTAATTGACTGAAAACAAAAAATATTTATAGTTTTACGTATATGCTATATCAGTTTTGGCGTGAATAATAAATGAATGACACAAACAAACATCAATGAATAAACACTTCACTATCGTTAACCTGTATAACGAACCAATTAAATAAGAGAAAAAATGTCATATCGTTGAACCTGTATCGCATTATCACCAGCGTAAAAAAAAAAAAAAAATATCACGTGTTTACACAAGGTGGCGTGAAAAAAATTACAGGACTAACAAATACTCGGACATTTAAACCCCCTAAAAATAGTCTTTCTAATGTCTATGACAACAAAGGCGAAGGTTAGAGTTAGACAATGAGTTTAATTCATGATACTCGGGGAAAAAATACAGCAAATTAAACAGGGTGAAAATGAGGAGATGTAAAAAATTAATAATGCCCCTTGAATGAGAGTCAGAGAGAGAGAGAGAGAGAGAGAGAAGAGAGAATTACCACGAGAGAGTGAGAGAGAGACAGAGCCACCTACCATTCACCAATTAGCACCACCACAAGAGGGCCAGCCGTCCATACCATAAGCCTCACGCATCATTTAACAAAGATAATAGTGTCACGCCTACCAGCACCATAAGTTCCTCCACGGACAGTACAGAAAAGTGGAATGTGAGAACAAGTCTTAACTGTCTCCCACGTCCAAAAGATGACGATCAAACGTGGAGGTGAAATTCCACTGAGAGTCTATCATTGTGTGCTATCGTCCCCCGTAAAGATGAAATAGCCTTCTAAATGTATCTAATCGATTGAAATACAAATTCTAAGCTTTTGTTCACTCAGATCATAGGATGTTTAGTTTGACATATAACTCTTTGAGGACGATAATTCAGGGGGTACTATATTCTGTACTTAAGCTATCGTCCTTCACGGAGTTAAGGACGATAGCGAGGCCCAACACTAATGCACATTGGTTGTACTCAACTGACCACACTTAAATGCGGCTTTAGACTACTCAACATTTAATACTAGTCGATGCTGAATTTGCCGAGAGAGAGCTTTCTTGTTTACACTGGACTCGCTTCCTTTCTCCCTCTTTTGAATACATCTGGAATTGGTTCAAAATGATTATTTGTTTACCCATATTCAAGTCAAGTTGTTTGCTTTGTAATGTTTGTTTTGCAGTTGAGAATCTAAATAATAAATAACAAATAAAATGATATATATATATATATATCCTTCACTCAGGTTGCTGGAACTCTTAGCTTAATTAGTAAGAGGTAAACTACAGCCAAGACAAACATCCTCACGTATAGTTGTGTTTCATTACTCACTGAACGTTTGGGATTATATTGTAGGACCAGTCTCGTGAGTTTGGTTAGAATGGGTTCATGTATATTGTCTTGGCATTCAAAGCACACAAGAGTTATCACTGTTCTTTAATGGATTGTTTAACCTTTTGAGTGTGATAATGTAACCCCCTCCCATAAGTGCTGTGGTTTCGTAGTAGAGGGAATAAGTCATTGTATTCTAAAGGTTAAAAACATTGTACTTAAAGGAGTTTGTTCATTGCACTCAAGAGGGAATAAATCATTGTATTCTAAAGGTTAAAAACATTGTACTTAAAGGAGTTTGTTCATTGCACTCAAGAGGTTTAGTAATCGTGCTTAAGAGGCAGTGATATTTTCATCATTACTCTTACTCACAATAATATAAAGGTTTAAGTCATTGTACTCAAGAGGTAAAGATATCACAATCTCTTTGTTAATGCATTGTACTCCAACGGTTGTCATCATACTCAAAGGAATAAGATACTCTACTGGATGGGCGTATTAGTTGTCATTAAGTGCTAATAAGCCGTATTTAAGGGGGCAAGAGGTAAACATTATGGTAATCATCAACAAACATTACATGTAAACATTCTTCTATTTATCATCAAACACTGGCGCTTGGTTTTCTAGTGCCCATATTGATTAATGTTATTGTGTTTTACGGTGTATAATCCTTACCTGTGCACAGAGGCGACGTAAAAACTTCATCAAACAGTGTCTCGTGTTATTGTGTGGAGCTGTTTCTGTCGTCTTGTACTGAATACACGCCGGTAAGCCTTCGTCCGCTGTCACAATACGATAGTAGTTACTTCATTCTTATAAGGCCTTGTTAAAATGGGTTTATACACTAAGCGATACAAAGGTCTTCATTAGGGTCGAAAGTATCCTATTGAACGGAGTAAATTTAGAGACAAAAAGTTAATCCACGAAGAATGAAATCGAAATTGCAGAGAGGATGAGGAGAACGGGCGAAAAAAGAAAAACAAAATTCGTCTCTGTCAGCCGCAGAGGATCATCAAGAAGGGAATGACATCCACAACAGAAGCCTCACAACAGCCGGGAGTCCACAGTGAGGTTCCCCTCCTCCCCCCTACCAGATGGCCCCGGGAAACGCCCAGATTGGGTCACCGACATCCCGTGGGAGGTCGCCGGCAGACAGCTGGTGCAGGATTATTGTTGCGTCTTATCCCTCAGTGAAAAATTTTTTCTGCAGAAGTTAGACACGCCAAGTGGTGCTGAGCTGCCCCAGAGAGCATTAAGTACGCAGCATCTCCACCACCAGCGTCGTCTCGAGTCGATAAAATCTGAGGTTCACAGAGTCCCTAGCGTAAAGTGTGTTAAACTTTAAGTTCTAAAATAAGAGATTATTTATCTAGGCCTACCTGTAGGTCTACTCTCTCTCTCTCTCTGTATATATATATATATATATATATATATATATATATATATATATATATATATATATATATATATATATATATATATATATATATATATATATATATATATGTGTGTCTTAATTGCAAGCTTCTTACTGGCCATTAACGATCAGTAGATCATAAAAGTACATATACAAAATAGTTTCATGTAAAAACGTAACCTAACCTAGACCTACTTTAAGTATAATTTTACTATCTTGTGATAGCAAAAGACGCCTTAAATGAAGCAGAGTGAATTTTACCATATACTGATTAATTTCCATTGAGTTCCAGCAATAAAAACAAGAAATTATCCCTTTGGCAAGAATTCCGTTGCAGTTTCAGTCTTAATCGGTGATTTTCTGTGTTTAGCGTGACATGTGACTCCCGACGAATCAGATTGATAAACACTGGGAACAATGTCTGTCGCTTGATACAGGTTAACTCGACAGTTCGGACTGTACAACTGTAATGTTTCATGACCCACTGACCCACAAACACGAACTCTGGGACCGGTGCCAGGGCAAGTTTTAAAATATCAAAGTGTTTTATATACTTATCTATGTGCTTGTGTGGGTTTATGATACTAATTCACCAACTCAATGCGCAAAGGTTACATAGATATACCTACAATATACATACAGTATTCACATACATACAGACAAACATACACAGTGTATGCAGAAATGCGTCTTCACATAAGACTGTGAATATCGTGCCAACATTTCCTCTGCCCACATGTGACGGCGCCGAGCACGCCAGGGAACTGTAGAATAATGCATACAAAGCCCCGAACTTGTGTGATGTTTTGCTCTTGTTTCTTATATGACCGCTGCAAATTTTTTTCTAAAGGAACCATTGCCTCCATTTGCTTTTTTTATGAGGGTGATCATTGTGGTGTTGAGAGTCAGGCTGAATAAATTAATCCGAGCACTGTAATGTGTTAAGCAACGCGAGAAAAGATTCATAAGATAGGAGACGATTTGCTGTGTAAACCTGAGGTCATTCATTAATATGCAGAATAATTTTATATTTCATCTGCTTCTTTTTTATCATTATTATCCTGAATTCTTCTTGTTCTTGTTCTTATTCTTCTTCTTCGTCAACTTTTTCCTCTACTTCTTGCTGTTCATTAACTTTTTTCATCATCTCGTTCTTCCTAAACTTTACTTATACTTCTTATAAAAGTCCTGCTTAACTTTTTTTATACATTACTCTTATATTTTTATCTCCTTAAATATTCCTCATACTTCAACTTTATTCTTCGTCCTCTTCCCTTTCTTGTTCCCTTGAATTATTATATTATTCTTGTTTTTTCCCTCTTTATTCCTTATTATTTATTCTGATATCTATTCTTTAATTTTTCCTCAAGAATTTTTTTTTAGCATATTTCATCGGAGTAAAATATTAATAATTGTGAATGAATGAACAAAAAAATGTATCTTATTTAAGTCATTACCTATTTGGTCAGGTAGTATAAGCGTTATTTTAGCTTCCAGACAGAACATGATGACGCGGGTTACTTACTGACATAATCATCTTGTCCAGGATAGCGTGAAAGGACGTCATTGGTGTGTGCAGCTGTGGTGGTCTGTGCTGAACACCACACTGTGTTGATTGTGAGCACCAAGCTGAGCACCGTCACCCCCACACCCTCCATCAACCCCCACACACCACCACATACCCCACACTTGCCCATCATGTTCTTTTATACGGCAGTTTTAACCTGTTAGAGAATATAATTTTTCTACACTATCATGTGTGTGAATGTTTTGTTTCTCTATAGTATTTCCACTTTTATTCCTGTTGTTATATATAAATATTTTGTATGGACAATATTTACACCAACCTCTACAGTTCTTTTTTTTATTAATATTAATATTATTCAGTAACAGTTTATATTGTGTGCTGAGGAAACTTTGATCATAGTGATACAGGCTCTACACTTGTGGTCATTCATGGAGTTACAACCACTACGAGCCACATCAGGTAAGAGGAACAGGCCGGGTGAGGGTGGGCTACCTGAGGCAGCATGAGAGGAACGCACCAGGTCACACGACCCTTCTCACACGGTAGTCAGGCGAGGACTGAAGCCGCCCACACGCACGACCTCCAGCCTGGGACTGTCCGCAGGATGGTCTCTACCATAGGACGCGCATGCGCCCACATGACACCCTTTCGTACCACCAGTCTTATTGATATTAACAGAGAACTCCTATATATATTACATTATTATTTAAGACACAATGTACTAAAAGTCTTATAAACGATCTCTACATCTTATAGCAAGAGCTTTATAGTTACTAACATACTATTAATACAAGAACCTTAGAACTATTACTCTGAGGGTCCTGTATATTATTAATGAATATAGAAAGCATCATTAAACAGTCCAGCAATATTACGCTGAGCTTAATAGATTCATTGGTAAAATTAATGTTTTTTACCCGACGAACTTACTGACATTAAATAAGGAGTCCCCACCTAGTTATATTAGGGTGTATTTTGTTATTCATGATCATTTTCAGACGCTGGCATGACGGCCGCCACTACACGAGTCTCCGTTACTTACTCACACTCGCTCATCAAAAGCAATTGTAATTAATGTTACAGGTGCGAATAACTCTCGTAATAAAACGGATATGATCATTGTTTTTTTATTTACGCTTCGAGTTGCCGTAGTTTATTGCCCACCTCACTTCTCCCTTCTCTCTTTTATGTCATGTTGTGTAAATCACTTTATACAGACTAACCAAACACATTATAAAGGTCCAGGAGAAATAATTAAAAGCAACACTTCCGTCCATTTTTCAGTGAGCTTGACAACTTAATACGTAGACCAGTTCATCAACTTCTCGTGTGCCTTAAACTTAACCACAGAGTGTTGTACCTGACCCAAACTTTAAGGAATTATGTAAAACAAGGGGGAGTAATTCTCCCCAAGTATAAAGGTTGTTGTGTGGAGCTTGTGTAACTAATGGGCGGCGTCCTCCCTGCCATCTTGACACGGTGGAAGTCCATTCTATTATCTTGTTGTGTTCAGGGATCCGGTGTAACGATGGCACAGCTGGTTTATCCGTCCTAAAGAACCTTGATGTCCTTCTACTGTCCTCGAGCGTCCATCGAGTCTCCTCTCAGCCGACCCATTACTCCCTGAGTCCTGATTTCACCTGAGAGACGTTCTAAGGCTTCATAGATAACCCTTGACATCCTGCCAGCCTTGTCAAGGACTCCTCATGTCCTCCCTCTTCTCCTGCCACTGTGAGTTCGTGGGTTCACTGAAGGGGAAGAGTTTCTCTCAACTGCGCCAGGACTTCCTCGACACCCTCGTCTGAGTCTCACCGTGAGCCAGTCTCGGTAATTTACTGACGTTTACCTTGAGACTCCCAGTTTCATTATCTACTTGGGAAGGCTAATGACTTACGACTAATTACCCGTTTCCATTAATAAAAGTCAGGGAGCAAAAATACTACGAGTCATGATGCTGTTTCCCGGGAACAGTCATTAAGGCGCGTCTGGGTGATCAAAAGCCCTGACCACATCTTAAAGAAGTAGAAATAGAGAGTCTTCGGGGTGTGACTTAACCTAAAAGCTCTATCACTGCCTCAGCTTTGTATCCGTCATTGATTTTTCGTGAGTGTTGTCTGGTTCACCCCAGGACACAGCCGGCTGTACCCAGGAAGGTTATGGCGGTGCAGCTGCTTGAAGGAAGGAGGAAAAGTGATGGCGGTGTAGCTGCCTGAAGGAAGGAGGGAAGGTGATTGTGGTGCAGCTGCCTGGAGAAGGGAGGTAAGGTGATGGTGGTGCAGCTGCCTGAAGGACGGAGGGAAGGAGGGAAAGTGATGGTTGTGCAGCTGCCTGAAGGAGGGAAGGAAGGCTCTTTAGTTGCTGGGGAGGAACGCCGGCTGTCTGCTTTCCTGAATCTGCCTGACTGGGTAGCAAATGACATTAGTTTAAGAGGATGGGGTGAGGGATAATTAGAGAGAGCGAGAGACAGAGAAAGCCAGAGAGATAAAGAGAGTAAGACAGAGATTCCGACAAGCAGAGAAAGATAGAGAGTGAGAAACAGAGATTCACACAGAAAAAAAGAGAAAAAAAAGAGACTTAGAGATTCAGAAAGAGATAGATATATTAGATAAAAAGTGAGAGAAAAAGAGAGAGAGAGGCGGATAGAAAGAATGAGATAGAATCAGGATAGAGAAAGGGAGATAACGAGGTTTCATTTGTCTCTGTGGATATTACATATATAATCAAAAGGTAAACTTATCTGTGAGGGGAACCAGACCTTGGCGTGTCAGGTGTTGTTATATTTACCCGAACAAGTTTCAGGAAGGGGAGGACATGGCGTTGTCACAGGACCAATTTCACTGAAGCTATGTTGTAGAGGTCACAGTACCTAGACCTTGATACGCTGGGATTCTGTCTGTCTTACCTAATTATTTCTCACTGTTGGATGGCAGCTGACTGTTCCCTACCTTAAGCCGTGTTTTGTTATATGTGAAATAATGAAAAAGTTTGGATTATTGCCTATTATTAATGCACGAGTAGGTGGGGTTAGGTTAGGGTATGTTAGGTGCCTCCAGAGCTTGGTGAACTGCGGGTGCCCAAGGAGAGAACCAACGACCCTTAGGTTAACTTAAGGTTATTGTTATTAATGCAAATTTCAATTACCTTGAATGTGAGTTCGGCACGACTTACGGTCCTCGTACGAAACGACCAACTGTGTGCGATATGACCCGTGAATAAAGCGCTGTGTGTATGAACCAGCCTCTTAGACGTTTGGGAGCGTAAATCTGTTTCTAACCATAAAATTATGTAAGATTATGAAACCGGTATTTTCTCGAAATTCCTGAAAGTTTCAAAAATTTCAAGTAATTACTGTTTCACTCAGGGACTTAACGAAATTGCTAAAATATTTAAGGATTTCATGAAATTACTAAAATATTATCATTATTTATACATGGTCTTACTGAATGGCTTTAAACAATTGGTTGAGTCTACCATATTTATGCTGCGCTTCCTAATACATTTTTATGAAAAATTTTATAGGAGTAAAGCGGGATGGAAGGTTAATCTAATTGTGCGTTTTTTTTCCAGGAGGTGAAAGTTAACAGCTTCTCGAGGGACCACAACGCCTCACAACACAACACACTTCAGGTATGTCCGAGTCAATACGAGGCTTTGAGGACCATAACGACGTAAGCGTCACCTAGAACTATCACATTAAGTTCAACAGATATAGTGAGTTCCATTTTCCATAATAACACCGTTTTATGGCGTTTTATGGCGCTTACAAAGTTATGGCCCACGGAGACCCATTTTACACGTCATTAATATTATTGAGTAACATTCATTTCGACAAAGGAAACTCAAGGTAAGAGAGACAACTTATACCTGATGTTTCGTCTCAAAGGACATTTTATCGTGTTTATTTTAGTTCGTAAATAATCAATGGATACAGTTCAGGATCAATGCTGTGGTAGGAATGTATTATTAGTTGAGGATGAAAAAACAACACAAAAATTCTCACAATTTCCAATAAACAATTTTTTTTTTAGCTTCAGTAGAATTAAATATCAAGGTTTTATTTTACGTTTGTCATCTCTCCTGTGCCGCTCCACTGTCAGAATTACCATTTTTTATAAGTTTTTGAATTGTGTTTTCATCAAAGCTCTGAATATTTTTTTCCCGGCAACCTCGATAAAACTTTGTGTGAGTGTTAATGTAAATTGAACTTAAACCTTCAATTTTAATTTTGATACTTTCTCACATAGGAATTTAACCTCTTTATTTTGGCTTTTTTTAATGGCGTTCTTCTTATTTTTTTTTATTATTATTTATGGGAAGCATTGTTCACCAGATGTAAACCAATCACATATGTTGTATGACCCACAACTACAGGAAGTAAATTGGGCTCATACTGTACTGTATATTTATTGTATATTCGATAAGGTTGACTCTCCACAAGACACCGCACCGGAGATCAGCTTATCAAAACTTAGTGGTAATGTAATGTCCAGTGTAGTGTGAACTGTGTACAAGACTATCCGGTAACATTATGGGAATTTGTGGGGAGTATCGGATTACTTCATAAGGATCACCTGAAGATTAGTCATCCCCCCAGCTAATTTCACTTCATTAAACACACTAACTCTACATAGGGGGTTAGGTTAGGTAATGTTAAGTTAGGTTAGGGATGGTTGTCTGCTATATTCTATTAAGCTGAATGTTTTATGATCAGATAAATACGTAAACCTTCACACAAACTGTTCATTATACTGTAAACTGTTATCACGTTCTTACTTGAAAAAAAAAATCACACTGTACTTACCGATGTCTCCCTCCGACGTTTAGAATTTTACTTCATTTTCTATTAATTTTATGTAAATACCAAGTAATTTAATTAATTCATAACTGTGGAGTTTTACAATGGGTCCTCGTCACCACCACTGTTTTATTCAATTGTTGGTGGTCGTGTTTATTTTATGGTATTAATTTATGAATTTATGATGAGGTTTACAAAATAACAGTCTCTCCTTTAACCATTGAGGAGTCTCCATTTTCTATCATATTTCTCAAGTACTACTAATTTTCCCCACTCATTTATGCCCCGAAAGATTTTGACACCGATTATGATACCGATTTTGGTACCCTCGGTCTCTCTTCCAAAGGGAGGGGGGGACTATTACAAAGGCCAGTTTCTGTACGTGACAAACGACTGGATACAAATTTTGGTTTAGCAAGACTAACATGAATTTTGTCAGTAGGTGAAAGGTGAACTGCCATTGAATAAAAGTGTTGAATATTTTTGGAACAATTATACATTCGCTTTATGTGATGATTAAAGCAATTTCTGTTATATTTTTTAAAGTGAATTCATAAACATAATTTTGCATGATAATTATATTCAAACTCGATGTTTCTTTCTCATTTCTTTCTTCATTAAATCAAACAGCATTCGTCCTTGTGTGTATGAGGAAGCTGTCATTAAATCCCCGTTTCTTGGTAGATGTAGACTTTGTTTCCTTGATTTATGATGATACTTGACAACTGAGGAACATACTGAAGGC